AAACCCACTGCCATCAAGGCAATTCCCACTCAGAGTGACCCTCGCTGAGTTTCCAAGGCTGTAGGTCTTTATGGAAACAGATTGCTTCATCATCCTCCCACAGGGTAGCTGCTGGGTTTGAACTGCCAACCTTCTGGTTAGCAGCCAAATGCCTCACCCACTATGCCACTAGAGCTCCTAGAAGACGAGGTAGGACTATGCAAATGTGAGGTGCTTGTGGCCCCCCGAGGGGACTGGATAGCTTGCTAATAATGTAAATAAGGTGTGCGGCACCCACATAGGGGTGGGTCCCTGCAGAGGTGTGTGGCATCCTAATGTGGGGATTGGTCAGTTTCGCCGTCTTGCTAGGCTGAAAATGAACTACTCGAGAGGCAGGAAGGGGGATCTCACTACCACCGAGGAAGAAGGGCCAGGTGTGGAGCATGCCCTTTGACCCGAGAGAGATCTCTGCATTGAACCTCTGATCCAGGGGACAGAACTGTAACACTCTGCGGAGAACTCGAGAGACGGCAAGTGCCAGAGAAGCGGTGGCAGATCCAGGAGACGGTGCCGTGGGCTTCTGGACCCATGGGACGGGAAGGCTGAGTGCCTTCGGGGAGGAGCGTTGCTGGGCAGTGGGGTGCGTCTGAGTGCTTACTGTTGGCAGAGCTTTGTGACCTTGGGCCTGAGCAGGGTGGGGCTGTGGGGCTGTGGGGCCGCAGGGCTGGGGTGAGGCTGAGGGCCCTCGGCAGGGCCCGGGGAGGGGCCGGGGGCCTGGAGCGAGGCTGTGGGGCCAGCAGAGGCCGTGGGGCCAGGGAGAGGCGTGCCTGCGGACAATGCAGAGAACTGGCTGCCCTGATTGAAGGTTCTGAGTCGTTTCTGATCCTGCACGTAACCTAGTACTTGCCTAATACACCCCGTAACTGCAGAGTGTGGTGAGTTGTTGTGGCCACTGCAGTTATGGAACCCTGCGGAGAAATGCAGTGTCCTGGAGGGATACTGGTGTCAGGACTGGTCCCAAAGGTTAGAGAGAGGAGGTGTGTCTGGCCTCTGCCTGTAGGACTCAGGCTGTTGGTCTTGATTCCTCCCCCTCACCCCCTTGTGAAGTTAGAGAGTGGAGGCCTGTGCCAAGCCATTTTTATGCAAATCTATGTATCAATCAAAAGAAAACAAACCCCTCATCTCCTCCTGCCACCCACTGACAACCCCTTGTTTGGGGGGGGTAGGGGGATGGGAGAGGCTCTACCTCCTCGCCATCTTAGAGCGCCCAGACCACGCAGCAAATGTGTTTTCTTCTAATGTGCAACTAGTAGAACCACGTGGGGCCAACATGCCACAAAAGGAAACAACTCCATCGTTGAGAGGGCTCTTACCTTCCTGTTCCGAACTCTTGACTGTCAGCTCATATGTTAAATCTGAAAAGTAAATGACACGCATGGATTTTGGATGGTTACCATTCACTGCAAATGTTCATCAGCTCTGAAAACACAGAAGGTATTCCCACCGTGACCCAACTGGGCCTGCCAAGAAAGATGAGGTGTTTGATCCCATTGGAGGCAGCTGTGCTAATAGCAGCCACCAGTAGCAGCCACGGCACTTACTAGGGTTCGAGAGGGGATCCTGCTTTTCCCTAAGGTCCCCCGTCTCCATCCCTCCAGAACAGCCCACACTCCAGATCTCAGCAGCAGCTCGCTGTGTGTTCACGGGCTGCGTCCTGGACGTGCTTCCAGAACCCCAGTCAGCGCTACCCAGCGGGCACTGCCCATGGAGACCCTCAGGGCACTGAGAAAGTTCCCCAGAGCACAAGCCTGGCGTGTGTCAGTCCTGCACTGGGCACAGGGCAGGGTTCGCAGGGCCTGCCACTACTGACAGGGCCCCACGTCGGAGTACGAGCGGAGAAAACCCCCTACCAGTTTGCTCTCACCCTGGAGAGCCCAGCCCTGGTCATGAGCGGCAGGCCGGGGCTAGCCCTTCCCAGGCCTGCCCGTACCCTGGCATCTCTGCACCCTGGCTGCCCCGGCCCGGCTCCCGGGCCCCGGGTACCTGTGCAGTGCTGCTGCAGCCGCCTGAGCTCTGCGTGCAGCCCCTGCAGGGTGCTGGCGTGCTCCCGCTGCAGGAAGAGCAGGTTCTTCTGTGCGCTCTGCAGCTGGTTCTCCAGGTTCGCGGTTGCCATGGTGACATCCAGGTGCCCTGCAGGGAACACACACCTGGTCATGCCAGGCAAGGAGCCACCGCTGGTCTTGGGGCCAGGGGGAGCTCTCCCCCCACTCAGGGTTCCGCTGAGGAGAGAGAGGGATGATGGAGGCTGCCACCCAAGGAGCCTCACAGCCCAGACGACCCAGCTGTCCACTGAGCGCCCACTCAGTGCAGGTCCCCCATTGTGGCCCTCCTCCCCTTTGCAAGGGCCGGGTTGGTAGTCTCTGCCTCACAGGAGGTCTGGCACCCACATCGCTGATAAGGAACAAGTTATTGAGCCTGGGGGTCACACAGGACCAAGCCTGGGCACCCTCATTCCAGAGTCTAGCCACCCGCCTTCACAGACTATGGCCCGAGTTACTGGCGCAAGGCTACACTGCCGGTAAATATCGTGCCGAGACGGAGCCACCAGTGATGACACATCCTGACGGCGACAGGACAGAGACCAACAAGGAGGCTGGCTCCCGGACGCGGATGACGGCCAAGCAGCGGCTCATGAACGCGGAAGCACAGCCTGGCTGGGCGGGCCGCTGGCCCCCTTGCTCTAGGCAGTAACTCGGCCCAGCGGCCCGCGTCTTAGAACTCAGCGTCCCTCTGACGTTGCAATGTCATCTCTTAAGACTCCACCAAAGAGAAAGAACCACCTCTGTGTGCTAAGACGCCGCTCTGAGGATGGTCACCACAGGGCAGCGGACGGTCGGAAAAGACTGGCTACTAACTAATGCTGCACCCCAGGTGCTGGTGAAACAAGGCCCCAGGCAGATGGCCCAGGGCACACCCCGCCAGGGGAGGAGGCAACGGTTCAGTGATGGCTGCCTAGCCCCACAGTAATGACTGCCTTGAGACCCGTAGGGAGAACAGACTTGGGGTGGCTCAGCCAGACAATCAGCCTGTGTGCCTCTAAACCTGGCCACCAATGGGCTAATCCCACGCTAAGCGGCCCATGCGTGCTGCCCAGGCAGGAGGTCCTTTCTGCAGGGGTTCAGCCCAGCTGCAGGTGGGCCCAGGGCTGACCCATTGGGCAGGGCCCCGCTCGGCAGAGCCGGCTGCCTTCCCACTGCTGCCGGTAGGAGGGTCTTGCCCCTGAGGCGTGGGCAGTTGGAGGATGAGGATTTCACACTGTTACCTCCATCTGACTGCTGGGCCCTCTTCCAGACTTTCCTGACTAAAAGGCTCTGACCAGGAGATGTGGGTGTGGGGGCCTTCCAGTGTGAGGGGGCACACCAATGAACCAGAGCTGGCCCTGAGGCCCAGGAAACAAGCCACGTTTGCTCAGGACAGCCGAAGCGCACACCCATTTCTCCGTGGCCGCCGACGCCCCGGACAGAGGCGCTGCCGTGGCTGGGAGGGAGGCGATGCTTTTCGTGTGATCCTCAGCTGCTGGCGGCCACGACCACGGTCTTGACTTGACCCTTCCTGTCGGCTGCAGGACCAGCGCTCTAAACTCAGCATGCCCGCTTCGGGCCACGGAGCCCCAGTGCGAGGGAGGACCTGGGAGGAAGGGCAGCACTGGGCCGGAAAGCTCGCTCCAGTTCTTGAAGACACTGTTCAGTCAGAGACGGGAGACGGCGTCTGTGACCCGCCCCACGTGGGTCCGTGTGCAGGATGAGGGGACAGCGTGCGTCTACGTGGATGACTAATTCACCCCGCCTGAGCGGTGGCTTCCACCTGTGCGACTGCAGGTCACACAGGACTGATGGGCGGCGGAGCGCAGGTGGCTGAACGCTGCAAGGTGGGACACAGGGCACCTGCGGCAGACGGCAGGCTCTCTGTCCTGCAGCTTCCTGTCTGGAGGCGAGCTCACTGATTTCTCAGGATTGCTGGGCTGGGTGCCTTGGGCAGTTTTAGTTATTCACCAAACCACAGGCAGCGCTGCTGAGTGGGGCCCTGCCCTGCAGTGGGGACACTGGGACTCCAAGAGACTATCTTCCTGAGGTCTGCAGTGGCCAGCAGGCAAGCCCCATGAGCGTGCACGGCTCTGTCCAGGGGCTGCAGGCCCTGGCTCAGGACCATGGGGGAAGCCCCCCCCCCCACAGCTTCTGGGACGCATTTTCCAGGTAATGCACTTCCATTCATTTCCTGTTCATGCCTCATGTTCAGTGAGGCTTTCTGTTCCCAGATCTGCAGAGGGCTCTGGGGACCTGGCCCACATGGCTTCCCAGGCTGGAGGTGACGAGCGGCATTCCCTGGTGACGACGTGGGCCGGATGGACCGCGCCCCCACTGCGTCAGCTCTGTGCTGGTGGGAACCAATGGCCTCTCAGTAGCCCCTGGTTCTTGTCTCCCCGCAGCTCCAATGCTGCTGCAGTGGTTTATTTAGGGACGACTTCGCGGGTCTGAGCGCACAGGCACAGCGTGTACTCGCCACTTAGCGGGTCGTCTCACCAGGCCCCTCAGGACAAGCGGGAGACTGTGTTCCCTGCCTGCGAGATTCAGAGCCTTCCAGGAGGTGCGTGTCAAACCTCCCTGCCGAAACCCCAGGGGCAGAAGCAAGGTGTGCCGGGGCCCGGCTGGCTGAGGTCAGGCCTGGCGGAGCTGCTGCACCCAGCTGTCTGTAGGCAGAGTGCAGCAGTCACCTCCAGCAAACAGACTCACTAGTCCACTCCCTTAATAGCAGCCACATTTCCAGGAAGCTATAAAGACAAGTGAGAGGCCGGCAGGGAACGCTGAGCGGCCAGCGACGGCGCACAGCACCAGGGAGGTGGGAGGACGGGGGGCACCCTGCAGCACGCAGACGCAGGCACCCCGGGTCCCGGCTGGTGGCCTGCTGCACAGAGCAGGGCACACTCTCCCGTCCCTACCCCAGGCCACAACTGACAGAGCACACTGGGGCTGCGTCAAGGCCAGGCTGTTCCAGGCACAGAGCAGCCCCCAGCTCGGGGGGCAGCCCTGATGCTGGAGTGTGACGAGGCAAAGCCAGACCCGTCCTTCCCTTCCTTCAAACCCTACTGCCCTCTTCCTCACGGGCCTTCCTCTGCGTGCACTCTGAGCTTCCACACATCTCACGTGCAAACAGCTCTGACGTGGGCCGTTCCTACAGCAGCAGCCCATGTTCCTGGGATGAGATCCCGCCCCAGAGCAGGTCCCTCTGGTCTCTGGCCCCTCAGCGCGGCATCCTCTCCCGGCCCTGCAGCTGCCGCATCCCGCCTGTCCCCACTGTCCGGGATGCTCGGCAAACCGCTCCACCTCCCCTGGCGAGAACACTTGCTCTCCCTTCACACAGGCGCTCGGGCCACGAATGCGCGTGCTTCAGGTCACCCCGTGTGCGCGCTCGCCATGCCGTGTGAGAGCTAAACCAGTGTTGGGTGGCGGTCACCGTAAAGCCCAGTGGCAGCACAGACTGAGCATGACCTCATCCCCTAATTTCTTGACATGCTAGAAGAATATTTCAAAGTATCCCTAAGCCACATTTTTAGACTAAAATAAATGGACTTGCTTGCTAGGTGAGGGTTTCAGCATTCAAAAATGGAAACTTCTTTGTTCCCAGGCACTCCAAAGCAGACCCCTCTCAGCTCTGCACAAAGCCCGTGGAAATGGGGTGATAATTTTGGAATTCAAAGAACAGTACCCCGTCCTCACGTGGCAGCTGTCAACGTGTTATAACACAGCTATCTGGATGCCCGTCATGTGTTAGTTCTAAGCCCTGCCCAGCTGGCCTTCGTGTCCCTGCGTCCCTGCAGTCGGAAAGGCTGGCGGCCCGCCGGCCCCCACTCTCTGCCTTCCCCTTGCTCCTCGTGTTTTCTGGAAGGCCCACGCCCCAGCCGACAGGCCTCCTGTGCGCTTCTTCATGAGGACCTGCTGTGCTGTACTGGGTCCTACAGTGTAAGCACTGCCACCAAGAAACTGTGCGTTGGCCGGAAACCAAGGCAGCGGGTGTAGTGACTACGAGTAGACGCGAAAATGACACCTGAGGGGCGACAGCTTTCTAGAGACAATCCCGGTTCCAGAAACGCTGAGGGCGAAAGGCGGCTTCCAGATCAGCTGTTCCAACAACGCTGTGCGTTTCCAGATGAACTGAGGCTCCGAGGTTTGCTGAACATCACACCATGAGTGGGACTGAAAGAGACCACTGGAGGGACTCTTGAGATGTTTAGGGTTGAATCTGAGCCATGTCCTGTCCCTAAATCACAACATGTAACTCATGGGCTCGTTCGTCGCTTCAGTGTCTGGCACGTGGCGAGGGCTCAGTAAACGTCCGTGACTTTGCTTTGACGTAACCACTGGTCCAGCGGGGTTCCCTCCTGGGGTCTTCCTGAAAAGCACCTAAGGATGGAAGCGAACTAGCAAAGTAGTTCCCGCCACTTCCAAAGACGGAACATCAAAGTCCAGAGCAGCATTTTCTGGTCGCCTCGGGCCTCCATTTTCACTGGGGAGGAGCCACTCAGGGAAGGGGCTACAGAACGCTGCCTGTCGGGCAGAGCAAGCAAGGCCCCTGAGGACCGGGGAAGCCGCCTCCTGGAGACCTTACAGCCCCCTGCAGGAGGCAGACCTGACGCCAGGCTGACGAGGCCCGTGACTCAACCCCAAATACCAGCTTTCCGGAAAAGAACCTTACGGTCTATAACAGTGAATACTGAAGTGATTCAGAATTCAAGGTCATCCCCGACAAATGTTTTCAGTGGTAGACCACTACTATCTCAACTTGTGAATGTATTTAAGAAATCCAATTACTAAGGCGTTTGCAAATCCCCACCGGTTAGGGTTCCTGCACACACAGATCATTTCAAGAAGAGGTAAACACTCAAGTTACTTCAGAAATATTTTGGTAAAAAGAATAAATACCACGACAAAGTGGAAGCCAAAAAAATAAGTAGTTGAAAACAAAAGGGGCAAGTATATATTAGTGACCAGATGGTGTGTGATTTTTCAAGAGTGAGTGCATAAAAACAAGTGTGGAGAGGGAGTCACATTCGGGGTACAGCTCTGACTGGGCCACCCCCCTTCTCTCTTCTGTAGCCCAAGGGGGAAGACCCGTACC